AGCAAGATCTTTCTTAGCTGCTTTACAAAAACAGTCAAATCGTTGTACTCATCACTAATGAACTGTCACATCTTGGTATTTACGGGATCTGGTCCAGGTTGACTTTGACCACCATGTTTGCTTGCTTCATCCTTGTGTGATTGAAAGACTCTTAAGGTTGGCTGAATTCATGACGCACTGTTTGAAGTTCTTTCGTCATTAAATCATTCTGATGTTGAAGTGCTTTAAATTTGAGTTGTTAGCTTTTCTAGACATAGTTATGAGACAAGTTCAACCAAAACTGTACTCGCTCAAAGCGCACATCCACTCGCTGAGATCGCACTTGTCCAAGTACCATTAATTCAACTCCCAGTAACTCGAAACCTTTCTAACTCAAACCCTACGTTAACTCAAACCAAAATCTATTTTCCTGGATTTCCATCATGGATTTCCTTTCATTTTACCCTCAGTTGAAGTAATTTTTGTTTCCTTCAGATCATTATTTTCTGTGTAAAAGTACTCTCGTTAACTTGAACTATGCTTCAAGTACCAGACAAATTTTAAAAAAGTGCTGTAGTCTGAAACATTCATTTGAAATTATTTTACAGTAGCAACCACATATTCCTTGTTTTTAATTTATTGTCAGTTCAATTGAAAATGGTGCTTAGCACTGTGTATTTATCAAAATGAAGTTTTGAAGTATGCATGTTAGTTGTATTCTTTCCTCATCCCCTTTTCTTATTTCTGGTTATTTGCTTTGGAACTGCTGATAACTCAAACTCCTGCTAACTTGAACTTTTTTAGATTATTTTACCTGGAAGGTTAAAGTTATCGGGAATCGACTTTTGATCATTTACTCCAGTGTTTTGGTAAAATTGAAGTAGTACTATTGATGGAGTTTGTTCTTGGTCATAAGAAGGGAAACAGAAGAATATAACAGCATCTCCAGTTTGTTGCTGGCCAAAATTCTGCCATCTCATTTTTTTTGTGTTCTATCAAAGGAAATGTGGATTTGCTTCTCAAACTCATTAATAATTCATAAAGAGAAAACAAAGAAAATCACAACCGAGACAGCTGTTTGGATATCAGATACTAATTACCATAAAATTTTGCAAACTTTATCTCTGAATTTCTCGAATAATTATTGTTCATTTGAGAAGCTACAGTAAAATTCCCAAAAAAAGCCCCTCCATGTATAAGCTCCTCCAAATATAAGCCCCCCAACTGGTAACAAAACAAACCCCTCAAATGTCCTCAAATACAAAGTGAAACAAAGCAATAACAGTACAGTAACATATAAATTTTTCCATTTGCCAAAGAGCTATTAAGTGTGCCAAATGATTGCATTCACAAAGTGTTACAGTTTATTGCTGTTTGTGTAGGTCACTCTTCGCTCTTGGCTTAGATGTCCTTGCACAGCTGTGTTTTAGAAAGGTCTACATCTTCAAGGCGAGAGTCAGTAAAACTTTTCTGCAAATTACTGACATAAAATCCAAATATAATCCAGCCCAATTAATTATGAGGTGCAAATTTCCCTCCAAGTGTAAGCCTGGACGATTTTGAAACTCAATTTATTTTTCCCTCCGTATATAAGCCCCTCTAAAAATAAAAATAATAAATAATAAACCCCTCTAAAAGGGCCTTTGAAAAATATAAGCCCCAGGGCTTATTTTCAGAATTTTATGGTAATGTATATCAAAAACTCCACTCAGTGCTGAGGGTCTCAATAGGGTTGACCGACTAGTGACAAACGGCGGAAAGTATAACTGACAAAACTGAGAAAAAATACCATCTGCTGACGGGGAAGAAATTAACCGACTGCTGACATGGTCCAACATTGTACAGATATTTGTGTTCAGAAATAAGTCATATTTTTTCATTTGTCTTGTATTTTCCTTTTTTTTTGTCAAAAGTATTTTGCTTGATTTGTTTCCACCACATGGAGGGTCTTTTAGTTGGCCCTATTTCGAGACCAGAGGTAAATGACATTAAATTCCAGTTTTTGGTACTTATAAAATTTCCTGTCGTTAAATTACTTGAGTCAAATTGTTGTAAAATCCATGTCTTGAAGGTTCGATTTCCCTCTCTTTCCCAGCATGTATAGAAGAACGCCTGTTTTGTACCTGCACCTCCTTTAAAACTTATTTCAGACCCATCAAATGGTGTGCCTTTGTTTCTCCCCCTTTTCTGGAGAAATCCAGGAAAGCGAGCACTCATTTCCTGCACAGTGCGTGGTAATTGAACCCACAAGACGTACTGCTGCAGTACTTTCACTGCCTGCTTTTTATCCATGCTCAAGTCATAAGTGAAGTTATAAGAGTGATTGTAAATTTCTTTTGAAAAGGTTAAGAGGTTGCGATCGAGCGCCACTGCATTCCAGTTGACATAGAAATTATGAGGGATGCTTTGAGATTACTGAAAGGACTACATCTGACAAAATTGGGAGGTTTTCTTGGACACTACTTTGCTTATCTGAGTGGCAAAACTCGCCTCTGCGGTTTAAGGCGAGAACCAGTCTATAGCAACAGAAGGGTACTGGCAACTGGAAGTTCCAAATTTGATTTCAGTCATAGGCAGCAGTGAGTTCAAAACATTCCACAGCTAAGGCACGAGCCATAAATCAGTATTCGAAAACGACCCGGGAAACAGACTTTAGTCTCTAAAAATAATTTTACTGAAATTCGACTCATATTCTCACTTGACCACTAACTCTCTCTTGATTACTTTGCTGGTCTAAACTGGGAAAAACCGACTCAAGACAGATTAAAGTGGCACAGCCTCATCAGTGAGGGTGCTGAGCCAGCAGATGAAGAGTGTACGAAGTGAAAAGGTCTAATTCATAAATCTTGCTCAGTCATGCAGAAACTCATCGACCTCAGCTTACATCATGTGCATCACATGTAGCGGACACTTTCGTCCTCACATTGGCCTCCTTAGCCACCTCTGAACTCACAAAATGTAATTGATGGCATCATGGAAGAAAACAAATTAAGGATAGAAAGATTGGTGATTTTCTCTTTCCAAAACAAAGGTGAAATAAGCGATTGTGTAGCTTAAAGAAACCAGTATTTTTTGAGGTTCCATTGCAATCAAATGATGAATTGACGATGAATGAAGAAGTTTTTTACTTACTGCAGAAAAGTTTAAACTGTGTGAATTAAATGACCAATATTAAAAATTAACTTGCTTTGTTAATCATCAACGGAGATTTACCGACAACCAACAAATATCGAAAATTTTAACCGACAACTGACAAAGTAATGAAATCTTTACCGACAACCGACATGTGGACCAGCCCATTCAGACCCTTAATGTTCCATCCGATATCCAGGCACCTCGAAGTTGATGTTTAAAAAACTCGGCTGGGTGTCGTTTTTCAACCCACTTCTTGGTGTCTAAATATCAGATGAAACACTGCATGTTGTTTTTTAATTATTACTGCAGATATAATTTGGTTTTATAATTTTTACTTAGGGTATTACATGTTAATCACATGCCATCTTGACCCCTCTCACATTTTCCTTGTTAAAGCCCTTTCCCTTTCTGGAAGCGATTCTAATTTATAATTAATTATCAGAGACACTTAACTTTCTCTTAATATATTTTATATGTTTGTAAATTACCTTATTATATGCTGTACCTTATTTATATAAGTATATGTAATAGCTATAATAATAATGAAATCTAATGTAAAGAGAAAGTCTCACCTGTAGGCCTTCATGGCCTTCCTTGCCTTTTGAGATTCTTTTCAGATTCGGAATGTGTATATTTTGTGCAATTTATTGTTTTTTGCCTTTCATTTATATGTAAAAAAGGCATTTAAAAAAGGCATTTTAAAAAAGCAATAAACCCATAAAAAGACTAACCTTCCCTTCCAAACATTAAGGGTGTGCCAAAACCTATGTCTGACTGTCTGGGACAGGTAGAAATGTAGTTTAGACATGTAAACCTTTGTCATGACTTGTCCATGGGACAAGCACATTTTTAACTAGAAAAAACACAGAAACAGTTAAGAATTGACTTCAAATTGCAGTAGAATTAGTGTTCCTGCCCCTAACATTTGCTATGCAAAATTTGCCTGTTTTCAGGAGATTTTTGCAGCTGCAATTGACTATGTGCTATTATGCACTAATTCCATTGTCTTCTTTTGTTTACTTGTAGCTATTTCGCACTTGTAGTTATTATTTGTTTCACGGGTCAACTAAAATCACTCTAGTACCTCTTAACTCTATCTTAATTTAATGCTTTAAGAAAGTTGAATAAGATTATGTTTATTTTTTGTTGAAAGGGTGTAAATGAAACTAGACTGCGAGCAGTCTCTTGTTTTTCTTTGCAAAGTTACTGCACACAAAACCTAAGCACGCGAGCGGCAAAGTTGGGAGCCGCAGGAAATGAGGGCGTAAGCCTGAGAAGTAAAAATCCATCTTTTCTCATCTCGTCTCCGTAATAATAACGTCATGGTTTGCAATTGCACTGGATGAGATAAGAATTAGACGGATTTTAAGAGAAAAGGGGGACTGCAAGCAGTCTAAAAGAAAACTGCAGTCCATGTTTTTAATGAGTAAACACTGTGGTAAGTGTTTCGTAAAGCATTAGACGTAAGGAGACCTATAATTTGTTGTGACCAGGTTTAGAGACCATATTGAGTAAAACTTCCAACAGGGAATTAGATGTGCATACAAATAACACCGCAGACAATGCATTTCCTTGTGAGACATATTGTTCAGCCATTGACAAGAAAAAAACAAACATGTTTAAATAATGTATTTTAAACATGGTTAAACTGTTGTTTATTGAGACACCTAGACCATGGCTAGGCCTTAAACACATGTTAACTTTGACTTTGTTTAAGTAGTCCCCCCGTTATTTTAAGGATTGTCCATATGTCAGGGCAGTGTCTCTTTAAACTAGCTTGATCAGAAAGGCATAACCCCTTATGAGTTTCTGGCTGGATTTAATTGAATAAAAAGGTTAAATAATGTCTTTTTTATGTTGAAAGGGTGCAAAGGAAGCTGCAGTTCATGTCTTTTAAGTGTAAACAGTGTGCCAATTGTTTTAGCCGAGCTCGACACCTAAGGAGTCATGAGAGAGGAAAAGCCTATGAATGTAAACAGTGTGGCAAGTGTTTTAGGCAATCAGGAGACCTCAGGAGACATGAAAGAGTTCACTCTGGGGAAAAGCCTTATGACTGTAAACAGTGTGGCAAGTGTTTTAGCCAAGCAAGAGATCTAAGGAGACATGAAAGAGTTCACTCTGGGGAAAAGCCTTATGACTGTAAACAGTGTGGCAAGTGTTTTAGCCAAGCAGAACACCTAAGGATTCATGAGAGATTTCACAGTGGGGAAAAGCCTTATGAATGTAAACAGTGTGGCAAGTGTTTTAGTGAAGCAGGAGACATAAGGAGACATGAAAGAGTTCACTCTGGGGAAAAGCCTTATGAATGTAAACAGTGTGGCAAGTGCTTTACTCTCTTGTCAAACTTAGGGAGACATGAAACAATTCACACTGGGGAAAAGCCCTATGAATGTAAACAATGTGGCAAGTGTTTTAGCCTCATAGGAAACCTAAGGATTCACGAAAGAGTTCACACTGGGGAAAAGCCTTATGAATGTAAACAATGTGGCAAGTGTTTTAGCCTCATAGGAAACCTAAGGGTTCATGGAAGAGTTCACACTGGGGAAAAGCCTTTTGAATGTAAACAGTGTGGCAAGTGTTTTAGCCGAGCAGGAGTTCTAAAGATTCATGAAAGAGTTCACACTGGGGAAAAGCCTTTTGAATGTAAACAGTGTGGCAAGTGTTTTAGCCGAGCAGGAGACCTAAGGATTCATGAAAGGGTTCACACTGGGGAAACGCCTTTTAAATGTAAACATTGTGGCAAGTGTTTCACTCATCTAAGAGTTTTTAAGAGGCATGAAGAAGTCCACATTAGAAAAATGTTGCAGAAATGTGACAGTAGCAAAGGTCCATTTAAACGTGTGCTTCGTAATCGTAAGAGAGCAGGAAGTAATATAAGGGCAGGATTGACCAACAGCACACTGTCACAGAGAGAGACTAGAAACAGTAGTATAAAAGACCAACAACTGGACGTTACTGAGAAACACAGCTGTTGGATTTGTCAAGAGGAGATGAGAAGTGAATCTCTTCTTCTTCAACATTATGAAAACCATGTGAGGCATGTAGCTGAAGATGGCTTGTAAAGACTTCCGTCTTAAGCTTTTGTTAAGTCTTGTTTCTGTTTTTTTTAGGTTTTGTCTTTTAACTGTAAGATGCAGTAAGGATGACTTCGTTTGTTGTTAGATCAATCGTTCCAGGGAAGATTAATCTGTTTTGTTTAAAAATTCAACTCTTTTTTCTGTCGGGCGGGTTTGTAAATAGATATTGATAAGTAGACATTGCGTTTTCTGAAAATGGACAGAGCAGTTCTTTGTTGATCGTTTTCTTTTATATAAAGAAAATGAAGGAATTTAATGCTGAAGGTCCCTTTTCTACAGATGTTCCCGCTATGCATTTTAATAGTTCTTGCAATAATTAAGAAATAGTTTGTTCTTCGCTCTGCCTGGCCTCTGTGCGACAAAAAGAAGCCTCTGCACCATAAGTGACCTGCAAATTCTCCCGACTGTTCTATATACATTTTCTTCGATAATTAGTCGGAAGAATTTGATAAAAGATCAATGCATTTCCCCTTTAATGGTAATTTAACGAGTTCTCGTAAGCTTTTCCCCTGATTATGTACTAATTTTCTCTGGAGAAGATTTATGTTGCTCACTCTTGTGACTTAAAGGGTTATATTAATTTAAACCCAATGGTTTATTTGTATTATCGCGCATTTCCCTGGTCCCTCAAATTTACACACTCAGGTCGTTCAGTGAAATAAGAAGCATGAACGTCACGCGAAGTTTCGAGTTATTTTTTCGGTGGCTTTCGTTTAGACCCAACTTTACAACCTTTGCTTTACATCCGTCAAGTTTCTCTAAATTTAACGCGGTAAAACGGCAATAAGGGATCCATTTTTTTTTTCAATTAACCCAGTCGCTTAGAAGGGTGACCTGCCTTTAATAATAGAAAAAAAAAACTCAGTTGCCCAAAATTAGGGATTGGGGGGTGGGGGTATCGTCCCCCGGCCCGTACGCCTATGTGCTCATATTAAAGCGAAGTTATCCTTCTAAGTAAATTTGTTCATTTTAAAAAAAGACACCGGTCAGTAAGAAATTTTCGTTTCTAGACAAGGTCTGATTGAGGTATATCTATTCCCGACTTTAAAACGGCCTCAAAAGACCAAAATATGGGATTCAAAAATTTTGATCCTGATCCCAGAATTGTTGCAAACCTTGATCCCCGATTAACTGCGTATACTTGACAAAAACTGGATGAAATACTAAATTAAGTGTCTCACTTCCATTTATTTTATTTTAGTCACACTAGGGCCATTTAAACGAGGAAAAATAGGGCGATCCGGTACCTACTTGAAAGATTGTTTTTGATTAGCTGGCAAAACAATAGGTATTGTCACATAACAATGCCCCTATCCCTGAAAACATTAAAGGGGACCACTGAAATGAGAGGTTTAGAACGGTGCAGGTCTGCTGAAAAAATAAGACTATGCCGTATAAACGACACATTAAGACGCGACTTAGCAAAGACACGTCTTATCGAAGAACAGGTGTTAGGGGCTGTTCTTAGATAAGACGCCGCGTCTTAGCTAAATTTGAAGAAAAAGGTGCCGTTTATATGGGATAGTTTGATTCTTATCTAGGACGCGTCCTATGTAAGACGTACGGTGGCCCATAGAGGACACGCTACCTACATTTTTATATCGCGCGATAAATTCAAATTATCGCGCGATAATTTGAATTTATTGCGCGATATTTTCGATTTATCGCGCGATATGATAGATAGATGCTTTATTGTCTTAATACCTTGCAGCCATAGGCTGAATTACGAAAGACATTACAATAAAAGGACATTACAATAAAGACATTACAATAAAAAAAAAAGTATATAAAATATAACAATAAAAAGGTAAAAAGTATAAAATTGCTACTATAACTAACTAATTAAACACTACTAAGCGCAGAAAACGTGACTAAAAATGATAGATTTTTTGCATCGATTGGTCTCGCACAAAGGTAAGGCAAAGTTCCGATTCCTCCTTAAAAGTAATTTGCTGGATTCTTGGAAGGAAGGAGTTTGTGAAGAGTGTGCCCGGGGTCATCCACGACTTCATTGAAGAGCTTTGATGAAATCTCTTCTCTCCTTTTAAAGAGGGTTGGCAAACCTGAAAATTCTAGGGCCTGATTGTATGACATACCGGGGTAAATAATTCGCAATGCACGTTTTTGCAGTCTCTCCAGGTCCTCGCTGAGGTAACCCGGGAGGGCGCGATGGAACACGGGACATGCATATTCGAGAAGAGAACGAATGCATGTGATGTAAAAAAGTATTAACTCCGCAGGCATAATCTGTGATCTCTTTAGTTGTCTCAAGAAGTACAACCGACAGGAGGCCTTCTTCACTAGTTCTAATACATGAACGTTCCATTTTAAGTCATTGCTAATGTTCAGGCCAAGCAATTTAGCACTGGTCACCTCCTCAAGGGGCTTTCCGTTAAGCAATATAGGATTAAAGGTCGAATTGTTGTTCAATATAGAAATGTAGTAGCGTGTTCTCAATGGGCCACTGCAAAGACGCGTCTTATTTTCCTCGTTTAAACGGCCCTATTAGTTACTGACTGGAGAATTAAGTTTGGCTCCCGTCTTTATTTTCGAGTTATTATTTCTATCATAATGCGTTCCACTTAAGAGCTCTAATAATAATATATCGTTTTTTGCTCTGTTCGTGTCATTTAAGCCTTCCTTTTAAAATTTGATCAATTTCATGTAACTACGGCAACTTAGCAGCAACAACAGAAGCAAAGCAAATTTTGATGGAGTATAAAACTCTAGGATAAAAAGCGTTTGCTCTAGCTGGCTTTGTTTCAGTCGCCGCATAGCTAAGTTTAGGAGTACCTCTAGTCATAAATCACTATCTGACTGTCATACAAGTGTAGGTTTTGATAAAATCTAGTTGGGTTACCGCTCGGCATAATATAGTGAGCTGTTCCCGGGGGGTACTCCCCTAGAAAATTAAATTGACGGGGTTGCTCGTCGAAAAATTTCGAGAACACCCTTAAAAGGTACCAGAATCTTGTTTAATGGGCCTGTCCCAAATTCATTTCCACCTCTATAAGGTAGCAATTCAACAACAACAAATTATATTATCTTTATCCTAATTATAATAAAGCATATTATTTCTAACAGAATTCGTAACAACTCTGGCAGCAGTCATTTTAAGTTTTAGCACCCTAAGCGGTACCAATCCACCAATTTAAACCCCTAAAAGGTACGACAAGCATCCCCGTCAATTTTATAGGGGAGTACCCCCCCCCCCCTCCCAGGGGGAGCAGTGTACCAGCTCTCAGCGGATCCGGTTAGCTTGAATCTAAAAAACGGGTTTCCTACAACGGTGTAAATGCGCGTAACGAGGGTATCAATCCCAGAGCGAGAATTTTTTTTCCAGAATCCATCTTTGGCAGTCAAAGACTTTGACCAATTCCGGTAGCTCAGTCACTTTAGTGTATATCAGATCTCCAACAAAATGAGTCAACAGGTCAACCAGCAGAGTCATTAATGTGCCAATAAGGCAATAAAGATAAATATCTCTCAATTTAAGGAAAGTACCAGGGTTTTGTAGTCCAGCAGATCGGATTGCGTGCGGTTTGGTACCCGCTTGAAATGTTTCAACGTTAAAATTCTACAGAACTGAATTTTAAAACGTTTGCAGAGCATTTCAGAATTTGAAGAATTTTGTGGTCTTTGTTGTTCTGTCGGAAAACCCGTAAACCATCCCTTAACTCCTTAAAACACTTCTTATCCTGTTCCTACGGCTTCTGATCCCACATCTCGTCGCTGTATTCCCTGATCACAACCTAATTTTTACTGTTGACCCCTGATCCTATATACCTCGTTACGACCTTGTTTTAGCGGGAGAGTCTTGTAACTTAGGAAAAAGGGAACATCTGTAAGAACGAGGTGGCTGTAATAAGCGGGTGTCCGTTGACAAAGCCGGGTTCAACTGCACACTGTACAAATGTTTGCGTTAAGGAGATATTTCATTAACCCAGGTGTCTACTGTTCTCACTACGCTTTTCCTTCCTTTTGGGATGACGCAACTTCTGGAAAAGGTCATGCACGTTAGACGTGCCTGTGTTTACGGTTGGGGGACTAAGTACTCCTTCCTGGGTAACTGCTTCATGTACGGGGGGCATTGATACAAGCAAAATGGCAGCCAACAGAGTTAGATCTCGTCAGGGGATCTTGTGGACTGATCACAAGCGCTGAAACCTCATTTAAAAAGGTAAGAAAAGGTTTTCAGTACATGATATATCATCTTAGAATGAATTCAGTGACAGGATTGATCGACAATAAAGAAAGCACAATATTTTAGAAGCTCATTAATGATCGCTTCCCTGGCGGGCAATAATTTGTAGCTTGTGCGTAGACACAGGCCGCAGAGGAGTTTATATTTTAATTTGTGACCTTGATTGCCGTTAAAATTTACAGTTGAAAGCGCCAGTCGCCTTAGTTTATGCAGGTGTCAATGTCTGGAAAGAGAAGGGAGCAGCGGGTACGGTACGGCAATTCTAATCTCTTGTGAGGAAATCGTTAGAAATCGAAGACAGAAAAAAAATTATCGATTATTATTGATTAACAAAATCGATAACAATCAATAAGAATCGATAGTAATCCATAAGCTTTAGCTTAACACATTTTATTTTTGATGACTTCAGCAACTATTCTAGTTGTGCACAGTCTTTATAACATTCCAATTTTTTTCCTTTGCGTTTCCTGGTTTGTTTTAAATACAATGTAGATCTTTAAATGTCCATTTAATCCAGACATAGTTTTTTCTTATTGCGACTCATTGAAATTATAAGAACACTGATTTTGTTTTTAAATTTTGCTCCATATTATGGATGGATTATTATGGAGTGGCTTCAGCGACAAAGAGTCTGTCACTTTTGCAGTAATATTTCTCTCCTTTTAATGGATTGCACTTAAGCTTAAAAATCAAAACAAAGAGCAATTTGTTCCTGTTAGTGTTTTCTTCTTTTAGTTTTGTATTCATTAAAATAACTGGATAATATCACAACTGAATGACCCAATAATACCGTACGGACAACATCCTGTAAGTGTTAAACTTCTACCGAATAATGACTTAAAACTTTTCCAATAATAATCGATAGTAATCAATAACAATCCATAAGAAAATTTCTGTTGATTGATATTGGAAGTCAATATTCATTCATCAATGATTGATATCAATTACTATCAGTGATTATCAATTATCGGCTTATAAATTAACTACAGGTGGAATACTACACCAATACACTGAAACCTGCTTTACTGTAGAATTGAATATTAACTTAACCAACTAAATTGGCTTGCAGTTGTGTTACAAAATTGGTAAATATTAGCCTCTGCTCAGCAGGAGAAAATATCAGCCACAAGGCAATGCATTTAAAAAGTTAAGCTTTCTGGGCCAGTGCCAGGAGGAAAAAGAGACAAGGGTTTCAACTAAATGCCATGTGAATTGATCAATGTGAACTGTAAATGTAGCTTACTGGTGCCAGAAACGTAAGTCAGGGTTAACTGTCACTCTGAGCATAACAGGAATCATGATGTTCACAGACTAGAAAACTTCATGTACTTTAATATTCAGATCTATGTGTTTTGAAGAAAACTAAAAAATTCAATCTCTCTTAGCCGCAATTAAAAGTCAAAACACTTTAAAGTTGGTGCTTGCAGAAACATAAAGCTCAGGAAAAACTATTTTATCAAGACTTATTTCATGACCTCTTATTTGAGACTAGCAGCAAAAATAAGATTGCACATTTAAAGTTTAGAATGCTCCATGTACCGTATAATCTATTCATGAGAAAGATGCCAAAAAAATAATGGCAGGTAACAATTATTTTGAAAGGCCTGCCAAACAAATGTCATATTTTTTTCACCATTACGAACCCTCTTATTTACCACTGATTTGGAATTTAAGAGGTGAGACTTTGAGTTACAGGGTTTGTACAGAGTCTTGAATCCTTGAAAAAGTCTTGTAATTTTGCCCACTAATTTGGTATTCACTAAATATGGTAAAAAAGTCTTAAATTTTTATTCAAAGCTATAATAAGTGCTTCACATCTGATTTTTTTTTCATTTTGGTCATGGTCTTTTTTCTGCTGCATGTTTGCATTGCATCAAGACTAAAGCTTTGTTCCTGCTTTTTTAAGGTCTGTGTTGATCATCTGGGAAAAGAAATTATTGTTTTGGAATAAAGTCTGGAAAAAGTCTTGAATTTTGGATTCAAACCTCTGTTTAAACTCTGGAGTCACCAAGTGCTTTAAAAGCATAATGTAGGAAAGGGAGTGATTGTTTAGTATGTCCCAGAGGGGTGTAGGGGTTTTCTGAATATGATGTAGAACCTTGCACTTCACTCCCCCTCCCCCCCCCAAAAAAAAAATTCATGTGAAAATTGCAACCCCCCGGGCAATAATAACTTTTGAAATGTGCCCCTTCCCCCACCTCTCTCAGACAAAGTTTTAAGATATTCATTCCATTATACTCTCGTTTATTGATATTTTAAAAAGCTATTGGATACCTGTAGTCTTTTTTATAAGTAAATACATGTATATTGCAGTTCTAGGTCGTATCATCCAATATAACAGCTAGTTAATTTAATAATGATGCATGTAAGGTTTAGGCATCTCTCAACTAGCATTAGATTAGGAGTGAAATTCAAGAAAGGTAGCAAAGGTCCATTTAAATGTGTGCTTTGTAATCGTAAGAGAGCAGGAAGTAATATAAGGGCAGGATTGCACACTGTCTCAGAAAGGGACTGGAAACAGTGATGTGGAAGGCCAGCGATCAGCCATCATTAACCCTTTAAGTCCCAATAGTGACTCACAGCCAATTTCTCCCAACAATAACACTGCCTGATCAAACAGACAGATCATGAGAATTAATGAAATGATAAACCAAAGATGAAATGTTGTGATGTTAAAAAAAAAAATCTCTCAAGCAGTACCATATGAAGAACAGTGTGGAGAAGGTGCACGTTGATGCTGGGGCTTAAAGGGTTTATAGGAAGCATAGCTGTTGGATTTGTCAAGAGGAGATAAGTAGTGAATCACTTCTTCTTCATCATTATGAAAACCATATGAGGCATGTAGCTGTAGATGGCTTCTAAAGTTGACAAATACAAATCTTGGGGGAGGAGGCCCCCTAAAATCTTAGGAATCTGGATGGGAGGGCACAAGAGAAATAGAGAAAATTGTGTAACTGGGGAGGACAGGTTTCAACATCGGCTGTATTACTGGAAGCAGAGATATACTCAATCTTGGTTTGGTTGGAGTAAATGTTAATTGAGTGCCCTGGCTCTGAAAAAGGATATGGCTTTTTTAGATGGGGTTCCTGTTCCTGTTTGTTAGGGTAGCCAAAGTTGTTTAAGTGTTGTGTTCACCCAATTTGATCATTCTTTATGTCTGTAATGATTAAATTAAGCTCCTTGGATGCTCATTTTTGTTTGGTACATCAAGGGAGGGCCCTTATTCGAGACAGGGTGCTTATTTCTTCTTTTAGAAACAACTGAACGCTTAAAACAAAACTTGAGAGCAAATATAGTAGATTGAAAAAACGTTGTCACTTGAAAAGCATAAACCATGAATGATGGGACCTAATGGATTTATGGGTAGAACTTTATTAGCATTGTAAATTTACAGTTATTTTCAGAAAGGTTTACATTATCAAAGCTTTTCATGACAATGCATTCCAATAAACATCGAATGGTTTCCAGTTTTTTCGGCTATAGGCTCACAACTTCACCTGTGCTGGACACATAAGAGATGTACAGTTAAACAACATAGCCATATCACTAACGCACATTTGAAAATTAACATATAGGACCTATAAGCTCTCGTTGAAGACAATAAACGACAACGGCGTGCCTTAAACAAGGTACTTTAGAGATTTGCATCAGCTCGCTCAAGCAGCTCGTGACAATGTAAACTTTTGTCGAAGGAACTTTGAATTTACTTTTCTAATGAATGTATATCCATAAATCCTTAAAGCTTCATCGTTCATGGATTATACTTTTTAGTGACAACGTTTTTTCAATCAGGTATATATTTTAAGGATTGCGTGCAGCTATTTTGAGAAAGGTTGTTGGAAAAAATGTGCACGCGACAATCCCGAAAGGTAATATGGGATATGATTAATAACCTGTTCCTGACATTGTAGCTATCGAACTTACTATTGTTTCTTTCCTTTAGCAATTACAAACATAAGTCCATGGCCTCTCGTGCCACTCTTGCAAATTTCTTTGAAGAACAGTGAACTCAAAACCACCCACAATACCTTTCGGCACTGTCGAGTGCACTTTTTCCGACAACCTTTCTCGAAACAGCTGTATATCCCATGATAGTCCCTGTTTCATCTAGCCTAATTAAGTGGTTTTTGAAAGTAAAAAGGGTGTAAAGGAAACTGTGGTCCATGTCTTTAAAGTGGAAACAGTGTGTGAAGGGTTTCAGTTTAATATTACAGCTTGAGGTCTCTGCTTTGTTGCTGGCAAAAAAACGGCCATCTCGATTTTTTGTGTACTTTTAAAGGAAATGTGGACTTGCTTCAAATTAATGTAATATGGTTTTTGTAATTTTTACATAGAGTATTGTATGTTAATCCTGTTCTTTGGGATGTAATAAACAATTGCTCCTCCAAGACTAAACTTCCCTTCAAAAAATTCAGGGTCTGCTAATACCCATGTCCAATTGTCCAGGACAGGTAGAAATTTAGTTCAGACATGTAAACCTTTGACATAACTTGTCTGTCAAACAATAATTTACATTATTAAATAAAAAATACAGAAATAGTTAAAGATGGACTTCAAGTTACAGTAGAATTAAAATTTATCTTATAGTCATAAAAGCAAACCTCATACTTCTCAAAATAAGGGTAAATAAAAGTAATATTATATTACTTTTATATCGCAGCCATGTCATTTGTTTTTGCATGAGCTTCATTTGGCTTAGGAACCTGGCAAAACATTTTGGAGAAGAACTGTTGGGTTTTGGACAACAAAATTTAATATGGTGCTTGTCCAAGGAACAAGTGGATAAGAATTTTTTTTTTCTTACTCTACTTCCCACTCACAAAAAAAATATTTGGTATTCACCATGAAAAAAACTTAATAATTACAACACCCACAATTTCTGTTGCGTAAACGACACTGAGGTGCACAATGCAAATTAAAAAAGAACTTTGCTTGGGCTGAATACAACCAAACCCATCTTCATGTAATTTATTTCTTGTGTCTATATCTTTGCCATGCAAGATTTGCCTACTTTGGGGGGTAACCCCATGATGGGGGATGGGGTGGCAGCTGCAATTGACTGATACCTAACCTTGTATCAGCAAAATTAATAGATTTAAAGGATTGTATATATCCCATGGTAGTACCTCTTAACTCTATCTTAATTAAGTTGTTTTTTTTTAATTGACTAATAATGTCTTATTCTATGTTGAAAGGGTGTAAAGGAAACTGTGGTCCATGTCTTCAAAGCGTATTAGTCTAGCAGGAGACGTAAGAAGGCATGGAAAAGTCTGCACTGGGGAAAAGCCTTATGAATGTAAACAGTGTGGCAAGTGTTTTAGTCAAGCAGGAAGCCTTAGTACACATGGAAGAGTTCATACTGGGGAAAAGCCTTATGAATGTAAACAATGTGGCAAGTGTTTTAGCCAAGCAGGAAGCCTTAAGAGTCACAAAAGAGTTCACACTGGAGAAAAGCCTTATGAATGTGAACAGTGTGGCAAGTGGTTTAAACATTCAACTGCCCTAGGGATTCATAAACGAGTTCACACTGGTAAAAAGCCATATGAATGTAAACAGTGTGGCAAGTGTTTTAGTCAAAAAGTACACCTAAGATGTCATGAAAGGGTTCACACTGGGGAAAAGCCTTATGAATGTGAACAGTGTGGCAAGTGGTTTAAACATTCAACTGCCCTAGGGATTCATAAACGAGTTCACACTGGTAAAAAGCCATATGAATGTAAACAGTGTGGCAAGTGTTTTAGTCAAACAGCACACCTAAGATGTCATGAAAGGGTTCACACTGGGGAAAAGCCTTATGAATGTAAACAATGTGGCCAGTGTTTTAGCCGAGCAGGACACCTAAGGCAGCATGAAAGAGTTCACACTGGGCAAAAACCTTACGAGTGTAAAAAGTGTGGAAAGTCTTTTAGCCGAACATATCATCTAAGGAGACATGAAAGAGTTCACACTGGGGAAAAGCCTTATGAATGTAAACACTCTAGCAAGTGTTTTAGAGAAAAAAGTAATATAAGGGCAGAATTGACTAACAGCACACTGCCACTTAAAGAGACTGGAAACTGCAGTATGGAAGACCAGCAATCTGACATCACCGAGAAACACAGTTGTTGGATTTGTCAAGAGGAGATGAGTAGTGAAGCTCTTCTTCTTCAACATTATGAAAATCACATGAGACATGTAGCTGAAGATGGCTTGTAAAGACTTCGGTCTTTAGATTTTGTTAAGTTTTGTTTTTTGGGGGGGAGTGGGGAGGGTTTGTCTTTTAACTGTAAGCATGACTTCGTTCCAGGGAACATTTATCTGTTTTGTTGAAAAGTTCAAACCTTTTTTTTCGTCAAGCGGGTTTATAAATAGAGATTGATAAGTAGACATTGCTTTTTCTGAAAATGGACAGAGCAGTTCTGGACTTATGTTTAAAACATATAAATAGATATATAAAGAAAATCAAGGAATTTAATGCTGAATGTAATGCTTAAGGTCTCTCCTCTATCGCTTGATAGACCAAAGAACTGCTATTTTACTGTTTGTCGTGATGGGTTAAAAAAATATTCAATTTAAGCAAAACGAGGTCATGTCCTTACAGTCAATATCCTTTGGTTTTTCCAAAGAGATGAGTTTACTTTTAATACACTGCTCAGAATATATATTTATATGCTTTTTCAATATAATGTAAGATGGTGGAGACCATCTTTAGCTTTCCATCAGAGTGCATAAAACTTTGTTTCCCATGAAAGGATGAGCAGAGCTAAGTTGTAGTCAAATGTGCGTTAGAGTTATGTAAGAATAACCAATGACCAACTTAAATATCTCCCTCTTTTCCTGTAAGACCTAAACATTTAATTTTTTTTTAAAAAAAGCAAAACGTTCTTCACTTTTCTGATCTTCTCCTCGAAATTTAAGACCCTCTTGCCGATCCAAACCAAACCAAACTCCCAGAATTTTAACTTTATCATTTGCCCATGTTAGTTTTTTTTATCGGGGCAGGAGATTTGACTACAACCCCTTAAAGAACCGATCCAAGCAAATAAGCTTTAACCCCGGAACCTCGCCAAACCTTTCTAGCATGTAAAGGTTGGAAGCACAGTTTTAAGCCTTGATGCATTGCTTTTGATGCAATTATATAATCAGAATTTAATAGAGTTATAGGTGTCCAATTTTCAGTTCGTCAAGCGCTTTACCTTTCTTGGGGATCAAAGAGATAATGCCTCTTCTTTGAGTTTCGGAAGGTTCTCATCGAAAAATAGGTTACCTATTCCCTACAAATTCGTACCTGTACAATCTTAAGAGGCGTAAAGAGAACCAAAGAAGGAATTGCATTGAATTGCATTCCTTCAAAATGTCTGAATCATTAGTTTAATATGAACCATTTTCTCCCCGATAAGGAAACGCGTCCATTCAGAAACGTCGCCCGTGAAAAGTGGGGTACCCATTATGCTATGCGAGCAAAAACGGCTAACAATTCTCACACTTTCAAGAGAGAATGTAGAAAAAAAAAAGAAGTAGGTTGCCATTGTTTTAAGTGTTAGAATGTCTTTGTCATTGCTACAGAGAACAAAATATTTATGCAAAAAGAAGCATTTTTCTTCCTCGTGCGCTATTAAACACAAAACCCTCCCGAATTCGGTAGTCTCGTGCGAATCGACTGGATGGAAAAACAGTTAAAGCTAATCGGAAACCAAAGAATTCTTCATTTTAAAACTCTTCTTCACGAAAGTCAGTCGATAAGATTGAATAATAATGTTTAGCAGCGTTTATTATCATCAGAAGCGATATTGTAGTTGTTTTCAAGAGACGGATTAGATCGCTGTTCAGGTTTGGCCATTATAAAATATGTAGTTTTAGCACTGTTAAAGAAACTATCGCTCTTAGTTTTACCTTATACTTTGTTAAAATCTATGTCGTAGGGCCTGTTTACATGGAGTGGGGGACCCCGGTTTAGTGGGGTTGGTTTCTTTTGTTTTCACGCTCTGGGGGACACAAAACAAAGGAAACTTACCAAACTAAACCGGGGTCCCCCACCCCATGTAAACAGGGTCTTAAATGAAGAACGTAAGTGAGGGTGCTTTTTCTTGGAATTTGGCCGTAAATTTTAGGTTTATAAATAGATTCGAACACCATGAAGTTTGTAAAAGGTAAAAATTCGTTTTAAATCAGTGCGTTGAAACATTTACGGCAAAATCAACAACAACCATCGAGGATTTTTCAATTTGAAAGCGTTTAAAATCAAATAGTCCCATGCCAATTCGGATTAACTTTAAACAGTTTTTAAATAGACTGAGCTTTTGTAAGTCGCGTAAAGTTCTATTCTTCGGTCGAAGAATAGGTAAATGTTGCGGGTGTCTGAGCAGGAACAATAGGGCCATTTATACGAGCAAAAATAAGACGCGTCTTACATAAGACGCGTCTTAAATAAGACGCGAACTGTACCATTTATACGAGCATGTCTTGTCTAAGACGAGAAGAGCTCGTATAAATGGTTCGCGTCTTATTTCTGTTCTTGACTGAATGTTGCCCGTAGCAACGGCAATCCAACGTGGCGCGCCAAAAATTAACGCATGCGTACTATGCGTCGTGTCTTATGTAAGACGCGAAGGTCATTTATACGATGTTTTTCTCGTCTTAGGGCCTCTTCATATGAGCCCGGTTGACCGGGCTGGCTCGGTTCCCGAGATCTCGGTAAGCGGGCTGGAAATTTTGCCATATGAACACTTCATCCCGGTTACCGGGATGAACGGCGGGATGAATTCTGGCGGTCCGGATGGCATCGTCTTGCATTGCCTGCTGTATTTTCCACATAATAAGCATCCCATTTAACTGCAGTGATAGAGCTTTAAGAGTTACCGATGATAGATAGGCCCAAAAGTTAAAATTTTTGTGTTTCGCTATGTTTGCTTTGTTTCCTAAATTTGGCGCCAGAACTCGTACCCAGGATCTTTGACCTTTTCTCATCTCGGAAACCGGGCTGAAATTTCTCATATGAACCCAAAGCAAAATTCATCCCGGTAACCGAGCCAGCCCGGTCAACCGGGCTCATATGAAGAGGCCCT